GGATCAACAAATACTTTTAGTTAGTTATACATTTTATTTTTTCACAAACTTTGAAATAACCCACAATGTCTCATCTCAAATACAGTTAAATACAGTTCTCATTGGAACGAAACTCTCATACTATCGATTAAATTTATAGTATGGAATGTTTGAGATAAGAACAAAATGCATGGGATAAGACTCAAGAGACAAAGTACCTGACACTGCATGGATTGTGTCGATGTTATTCTCTTTGCAATCAGCACATTCTCCAATACCAACAACCTCTACATTCTTGGCATTACCATAACACAAACACCCAGAAACCAATAAAAAAAGCAAAATAAAAGACCCCCTCATCGAGAAAAAAGACTTAAGAGTCTCAATGAGAACACATAAAATGAAGCGAATTAGCTTCTAAAAAGCCTTGTGTTCGAGTGACTATACTTCAATAAGTTGCTCTTATATATATATAATGCATGAGAGAGCTTACAAGTTACAACCCACAGTAGTAAAGAAGCTCACATGAAGCTAAGGGACCCACACCCTCTCTTAGTAAGATTAAACAAAAAGGCTACGCCAGCCCATTGTCGATCATTTAATGATCTCTCAACTACACCACATATTTTTAAGCTTACTAAGCATGTGAAAGCAATATCTCCACCAACTAACCAAACTTTCTCATTAATATCTTGATTTTCCATTCTTATTTCTCAATGACAATGGACATGAGTAACTACATTATTTTAACAACCCATTAAGCCATTACACAGTTATGTAAAGTTTTACACAGAATTGAAATTAACTAGCTAGGCATTATATCAAACAGTTGGCGGACAACATAACCAAGCATTATATATGTAGCTTACCTAGCATGTGAATGCAATATCTCCACCAGCTAACCAATACTTTCTCATTAATACCTTGTTTTTGCAACCGGTTAGACAATGATTTTTGCAACCCGTTAGAGAATTTCGTATGCTTCACACACAAACCAGCTAGGCATTTTATCAAACACTTGGCGACTACATAACCAGGAAATTCTTATGAATCTTTTTTGACAGAAATTAGTCAGCCAAACATTAAAAAAAATCGATAATTTATAAGACAATTGAACATTTTCACATCCCAATTAAGCCAGGAAAACGGGAAATGGGATACAAACCCGAAAAGGAATATGACCTTAGGTTTTTACAGAGTAGATTATTACCATCAATGAATGATGCATGTTCTGACACAACCACGGATCTTTCAATGAACTGTCATGTTAAAGAACTGAAGAACCCATACATACGTAGAGAATTTACAGAGTCAGTCTTGTAGGATTAGTAGTTATTAATCCACTTGATTGCAGCCAGGAATGTTGACACTGACAGACAATATATGTATGGGTCCGCAATGTGTACATGTATGGTGTTCATATGTACTTTTTTTTTTTGTATTTTACTTTTATGAAAGTTTAAAACCTTTATGGTGTTCAAATGTTCTTATATATATGTACTTTTTTACGACTGTTAAAATAATTTAACCGAGACTTATGTAAATAAAGCTATACCGTTTTGGTTTTTAAAAACGATTCCGACCATCAACTACTAACTACTTAATCTTTTTTGCAATCTAATGAATGGTTTTTTTTTCATAATAAATTAACATGTGATAGTATTGGGCAATGTTTGGTTCCTGATTATTGACAGAATCATGTGGAATTGCATGTGAGATTTCAATCTTTCATCATTTCATTGTGCTTGATTTGCGAGTATCCGTAAGTATGTGATGCAAATTAGATCTGTATATAATTGATTTCATTAGAAATATAGCATCCAAAATAGAAAAAGTTTTTAATTTAGATTTTTGGTGTCACATAACCGTTAACTCCATCACCTAAAAAGTTTAAGTTGTCTCCACCATGTACTATAGTGAATATTTTTACAAAAATCTTATTTGTAGATACCATGAATTACAATTTATATAATTTTTTTTTATATAAATCGATACAATTGACAATGAATGTAAATTACAAAATAGTATAAAACTACAAAAGGGCCGGGGAAAAAGATGTAGATATCATTGGCCCCGAGTCGGGTTATGTTTTTCCAGCATATAACCTTCTTTTTCATCAAAACTATTCCATAATGTAGCGTCAGAATTTTTTCTAGTTTCTATATGACATTAATATAAGAATATTATATGTGGACTATTAGTGTTGAAAGTAAGTGATCTCGTTTGTTACATACTCTTCGATCGTTAACTATGATGATATCTCTTCTTGTTGTTTGATCTAATCTTTGGATTTGGTCCTAGCTTGGGATTCATCACAATGGCTTTGAGAGTTGCATAAGTATGTGCATGAAAAGTAGAGTTTTGAATTATAAAGTTCTGTGTTTACAATTTTTGTTTTACTTTAGTGGTTGTCATTTTCTGCATATTTGTGCAACTCGCGGAAAGGCATAAATTGGAATTTACAAGGGAGCACTGATAGAGTAGGTTCAATGTATTAGTTTGTTAAGCACCCACAAATATAGCTATAGCTGGCACGATATTGAGGTTTTGCTTTTTGTTAGCACGACATTGGAGATGTAGTGCCGTTTATATAGTTTGAAAGACTAACCAAAATAACAAAGATGGTCGGTGTAATTTGTCAAATGTCATTTTGTAGATATTTTAAATTAAATTTTTTTCCACATGTCATTTTATTAGTTTTTATATTTTATTAAATTCCACATGATATTTTAATATAAGAATTGCAATAAATCCTTATTCTAATAAATGAATAGTTTTAATCTCTTTTTGCTAAATGTCACTTTAATACAACTCTTCATTAATATTATGTCATGTGTCATGTAGATATATTAGACAACTCATTTCAAAATTTAAATTTATATTTTCTAATTATATGTTAAATTTGAAGTTATAATAACTTTAAAAATTTGATATATCTCATAATTAATAATTTATTTAAAATGACTTATTTAAAATGATTTATTTAAAATAACTGATTAATAATTATAATTTTTATTATAAAAGTTTAATTAATTTTATAACTGTGTTTCCCACGGGTTATAAACTAGTATAGTAATAAATGGATATCAATTTCATTAATCAATTTACCTTTTAATTTTAAGATTATCAAAATTAAAGCTTATTAGTTTCTTTTGTTTATTTATTTAAATTATTTGTTTAAATATAAAAGATAAAAACATTTTCATTATAATAATTCATTATTTTTCTTATTTTCTTATAAATTCAAAATTCTTAAATATTTTGACCTTTATATTTAACATTTTTTTTTTAAAATTAACCAATGTAATAAATGAGTTTCACAAGTAGTTTAAACGATATGAACTTGAGATGTAAGGTATTGATTAAAATTATTTCATTGTTTCTATTATGGCTAGCAATCTACCTAATAATAGCCGCAATATTCAAATACACAATATTTCCATTGCTAAAGTCGGTAGATTTTTAAAAGTATCATGTTTTAATATTAAATAAATTTTATAGCACAATGATGTGATTTTAAATAATTTTGTAGTTTGAACAACTTACATAATTATAACATAATTATAGCAGTATTATTAAAAAATATAGATAATGACTTGAGAGGGTAACATACTTTTGCCTTTGGTCACATTTGGTCATTGAACTTTTTTTCGTGCTCTGTTAACTCTTTAACTTGTTGAATTGTGCTAATGTTCCCCTTCCGACTGTTTTTTGCCGGTTTCAATGAATTTATTGATCCTACGTGTCAGTTTGATCCTACGTGGCATGTAGGGTTATTGTTATTAAAGGAGGGGTGTATGTTGTTCCTTTATTGTGCCCTAATACCCCGATGCCCTAATACCCGATGGCTTCCTCCTACAGCTTCTCATCCTCCCTCAATCGATCAAGCAAGAAATCCACAGTGAATGATCCAAAAACTTGTGATTGTGGGTTCCCTGCACGTATTCTAACATCAACAACACCAAAGAATCCAATGAGGCATTTCATGGTGTGCAATGAGGTAAGCAATTTCACTTGAATTTTCCCTCTTTTCTGATTCATTTATTCCAGATTTGAAATCTCTTTTTGAATTTTTTGTGTGGAAGGGTAAATGCAAATATTGGAAATGGTTGGATGTAGAACTTGTACAGATGCCTCTAATGGAAGTGGTGTAGGGAATGAAAGCTGAATTAGTAGCATTGAAGACCGAAGTAGAGAAGGTGAAGGAAGACATGGAACAAATGAAGAAGGAAAAGTACTCTGATGCCATTGCAATGAAGGAGAAAATATATAAGTTTACCATAGGATTTCTTTTTTTGATCATCGTGTATATGATGAAATGATGTGAAATGATGTATTGAAAGATGTTGTTTGAATAGAATGGAGTCGTTATCTTAACTTCTTGTTGGAATGGAATGAAGTAACATTGACTGTAATGGAATCACAAAGAAGTAATTTTGACTGGAATGGAATCATAAAGAAGCATACATATTAACTTTCACTGGAATGGAATCACAAAGAATGGAGCCATTATCTTAACTTCTTGTTGGAATGGAATGAAGTAACTTTGACTGGAATGGAATCACAAAGAAGTAGTTTTGACTGGAATGGAATCATAAAGAAGCATACATATAACAATGAATACATATATGATTTTGACTGGAATAGAATCACAAAGTAGCATACATATAATTTTGACTGGAATAGGATCACAAAGAATTAGTTTTGACTGAAATGGAATCACAAAGTAGCATACATATAACAATGAATACATATAACAAAGAAGTAAGTGAATGTGGTGGTTGGATTCATTGAAATACTCCATTACTATTCGAAATTAAATAAGTTCTTGTCTGCATACACAAAAGTAGTTTCTAGGTAACACAAAAGATTCCTGCATAGACAAAAGAAGGGTCACCATGTGCCCACACACCTACTTGATAGTACCATAGAAAAGCATAATAAAAAGACTACTACTTTGTCTTTACATCACAACTGCCTCACAAAAGATATTACCACCCACCCACTACCTACCCACTAAATTAATCAATAACTGAAGGGTTATCTGCATTGCTCCCAACCCCAGGTATCTGCCTCCTTAATGCTTGTTTGATGATCCGTTCAGAATATTGACTCCTTCCACTTCTACCAACTGGGACCCTTCTTCTTGGCATGGGGACTGCACGTGGTGGTGTAGGAGGTGGTTGGGCTGCAGGTGGTGGTGGTGGAGGTGGTTGGGCTGCAGGTGGTGGTGGTGGAGGTGGTGGAGGAGGTTGTTGGGCTGCAGGTGGTGGTGGTGGAGGTGGTTGGGCTGCAGGTGGTGGTGGAGGTGGTTGGACTACAGGTGGTGGTGGAGGAGGTTGTTGGGCTGCAGGTGGTGGTGGTGGAGGTGGTTGGGCTGCAGGTGGTGGTGGAGGAGGTGGTTGGGCTGTAGGTGGTGGTCCTTCATTTCCCCTGGATAAACTTGGGTCTGCTCCACTGCCCCTGGATGAACTTGGTACTACAAACAAAAATTAAAATGTCAATTCTTTGTTTAAATGATGTAATGTTTTTACAAATATTAACCTGATGTATTGCTTTGCTGGTTAGATGGACACTTTTTCTTGTTGTGACCTGGTTCCTTACAAATACCACACTTTATTAGGCTTCCTCTTCTTGTGACAATTTGTCTACTTGGTCCAGTCAACTCTCTTTCAATTGCATCCCTCTTCCTTTTCACTGATGGCCTACCAGGTAATCTTCTTCTTTTGGGAGGCAAAGGCTTGTGGTATGGAACATCTGGCCACATATCACTACTATTGAGAGGATTAATGCTATATTTGTAGCATTTTAGGTAAGCCTCAGTAGTGTATGATTGGGACACATATGTCTCTGCATCATGATTTAAGTAAGAGATTGCTGCCACTCCATGTAAGCATGGTATCCTTGTAAGTTGCCATATTCTACAGGCACACTTCTTTGCAATTAGATCCACTCCATATGCAACATCAGTGAATCTAACCTCATACTTTTGATAACCACAAGGAGTAACTCCCCACAATCTGTTTAAAGCAAAAAATATAAATCAATAACACATCCTCATAATTAACATAAGCATATTAAAGTAAAAAACTTACCTCTGTTTAACCTTCAAATCTTCTATACGCTTCCTAATAGTTGGACATATAAGCAAATCCCATTCCATTCCTTCAACTCTTTGAGTGTATATCCTTTCCATCACAAATAACCTAATCTCCTCCAGCATAGTGATTATAGGTCTCCTTCTAGCATGCCTAATAGCAGAATTGAAACTCTCAATGACCCCATTCTCCACTGCATCACAATCTCTTCCTTCTTGAAAGAATGCCTTAGACCAGGTAGTAGGATCTCTGTCTATAAGGTAATCATAAGCATGAGTATCAATAGATTTGATCTTCTCCATTACACCTCTGAACTTCTCCACAGTACTAGCCCTTACAGCCCTCCAAAATAACTTCATGTATTCTTGACCAGTAAACCTTTTACTAAAATTGGCCACAATATGTCTGGCACATTGCCTATGTTCAGCTTCTGGACATCTTTCCTTAATTGCTTGTAATAACCCCTACAAATCACAACATCATTATGAGTGAAAAAGCATAAAAAGGACCCAGTACTAACCTTGTGTCCGTCAGAAAGAAGGGTAATGCCTGCACCAAGACCACCATTAATGTCATCCATAAGCAAATCTATGAACCACTTCCATGTTTCTTTATTCTCAACACATACCACTGCCCATGCTAAAGGGTAGATGTGGTTGTTTGCATCTCTCCCAACAGCTGAAAGAACTTCTCCTCTAACTATACCCTTTAAAAAGCAACCATCAAGCCCAATTACAGGCCTACACCCTTCTAACCAACCATCCCTTACAACTTTGAAACACACATAAAACTTGGAAAACAAAGTTGTGGAATCTGGCATGATGTCTACATCCAACCTCACAGTAGACCCAGGATTTGACCTGATAATTTCCTCACCATATGACAACAATCTCCCATAATGTTCAATTAGACTTCCTTCAATCTCTTGTAATGCAAATTTCTTTGCATTTCTGCATTGCCCCACACTCACATTTATGTTGAATGTCGTTGACACTTTAGCTTTCATCTTCCTTGCACTCATTTTTGGGTTCTCTATAATTTGACTCATAAAATGTTTCCCTATCCATCTGTAAGTTACTATTGACCCAAACTTAAACACCCTACAACAATTATGTTCATTCACTAGAGATTTGATCTGAAAAGTCTTTTCTTTACTCATCTAGGAGGCCCATAGTCTGAAAGGGAAAGATGGTGACTTATTCTTTTTGCAACATTTCACTAACAATCTATTAGAGTCATTTTTTTCAAACCATAGATCATACCCATTAGCAACTGCATAATTGCTTAACATATGTTTAAGCTCAGTAGGGTTAGAAAATCGCATACCTATCATTGGTTTCATCTGATCCCATGGCTGTCTCTCATCATACACAGGGTACTGGGGTGGCACGTATTCATCATCTTGATCTTCACTCTCTGTAGGTTCACAAAGGACGTTTAAAAATCTATCATGTGCAGTTTTGTTTGCTGGAAATGGATAGGTAGCATCATTTTCTTTATGATCAACAGAATATGAATCTTGAATAACTGAATCCTCATATTCATCTATGTCTTCATTTTCACTTTCACTTTCCTCAGCCTAAATCCAGTCGAAGATAGGTTCATTATGGTGATCCACATATACATTCATTCTCTTGTCATTAGCATACGCCAAATCCAAAAATTCCTTGTAATCACCCTCGTTCACCAGTGTATGAATTCCAAGACCTAAAGACTCTTGTGGAAGGCAGAAATAGATGTCTTTGCTTCTCGATTTGGTGAGCTTGTGAGCACCCAAACGCACTGAAGTCAACATCTCGCACTGATGCTCTGTCGGGATCAAAGTAAACTAAGGGATTGGGTGCAAACTGACCATTGTAGTGGAAATCCACTACAATGAAGTTCTGATCAGTAGGATTTGGAGATGATGCCATTCTACAGAACGATTGAAGGAGACGAATGATCGATGGAGAATTTTGTGCCCTAGTCGAGTTTAAGGACCAAATGAGACTTCGGGGTGAGGTTTAACGAGAAGGAGACGAAAAATCAGGGCCTACATGCCACCTCTTTCGCCACGTAAGATAAAAAGTACACGTAAGATCGATAAATCCTTTAAAACCGGCTAAACCCGGTCATAAGGGGAACATTAGTACAATTCAACAAGTTAAGTGGTTAATAAAGCACGAAATAAAGTTCAGTGACCAAATGTGATCAAAGTCAAAAGTATCTTACCCTCTCAAGTCATTATCCCTAAAAAATAATGCACTTTCCATTATTATAACCATGCAAATTTATGAAAGCACGACGTGTTAACAAAAACTTTTTTAAGTATAATGGCAAAATTTTAAAGTTTTTTATTATTTTATTATTTTTTATTTTTTGAATTTTGAACATTCTACTCAATTATAACAATGTTATTCAAATATAAAGCATTTTGCATTATTGTAATAAGGTTGATTTTTCATAGTGTGACGTCTCAATATAAAATTTAAAATATACAATGCTTTAATTTTAAACTAGAATGGTATACTTTCTAATATTTTCAAAAATAAAGTGTAAAAAGATAATATCACAATGTTGTAGAATGAAACTCGTGTGTTATAATACAATTATAAAATTACATAAGTGGTCTCTATGATTTACCAAAAGTCACAACTTCAATCATTATCAATACTTTTTAATACGAATGATCATTGTGGTTTCTAAACTTGCATGGATAGTCCCTGTCGTATCTAAAACTTACATAAATAGTCTCTGAACTACATAAGTTGACTTAGTTGCCCTTCGTTGATTTCTTTTATCTTTTTCTTAAACTAAATTTAATCATTGAAATTAAAAAAACTAATAACCCCTACCCACTCCCACCTCCACTTTGTTTTTCCCGTTCTCTCTCTCGCCCACTCTTTATGGCTCATACCTATATGTTGATTCCTTTTCCACATCGATTGCCCTAATCCATCCTCAAATTAACGCTCCAAAACAACCAATGTCTCTGTTTCCCTTCATCATAACCACCATTGTTCACCAGGAATTGAGAAATTATCTTAAAGCTTACCAACAAAGCTCTTGTTTTGGGTTGTGATTTAATAACATTTCTCTATCTTATTACTAATTCGGTGGTTCCATTGCCGATGTAAACGATTTTTTTTCAAGAGAATTGAGAAATGGACATCAATTCCCTATCTCTACCCGTTCTTCATCTCTCATCCTCTCACTTCTTCCATTTCTTTTTTTTCTTATCAAGACTGAGCAAGGAAACCATCAGAAAAATCGATGGATTTGGGTATTATTTTGGGGATATATAATCTTCTAACCGTCTCGATAACGACTATTGGTGTCGGAGCCACCTCTTTCTCCTCCGCATGCCTCCTCAAACCATAATCACACCACCAACACCACATACTTTACCCCAATTTGTCATCATCACCATGTGTTCAACCATTAAATTCATTTAGGCTATTATACACTCACCTTCCTCTCGGTACATCTTTCTCTAAAAACCACTACCACCATTCACATATGAGGTTGTGACCCGTCATATTTGTTGTCTTGTCTATTTCATTAAGGTTTGCACCATATTTTTTTAGCAAGGGTTGGTCAAGTAATGAAGACAAAGAGGATGGAGGCCTAAGATGCATAACGTAGGTGAAGAATGAAGGTGGTGGACAGAAGAAGAAGAAAGAGACATGAATCTGAGAGGGGTTGAGGGGATGACACATGGTTTCCTCTTCCACCATTGGAATTCTTGGTGTCATCGCCTATGCTTCCATTCACAAATATGGACTAACATCCTCCGTTGAATGTGGACCAATGTAACACCCGATTCAAGGTAATTTCATTTTGACCCTTGGTATGTAAATATTTTGCAGATTTGGTCCCTAGGGGGGCAGTTTTGCCAATTTCGGAAATCCTGGGAGTATGTGGGGCGTACGCATGTAGGGGACAAACCCTAAAATTTATGGTTTGAACCATATTTAAACAACTTAATGACCCATGATCCTCTCATCTCTCAGCCTCCATTTCCCTTTGAGTCCCATTTCGAAACCCTAGCCCCTATTGAGGAGATTTGACCCTATTGTGTGTGTTTTTAGTGTGTGTATGTGTGTGTTGGTGAGATTTGAGGAAATAGAGCTTATAAGAAGGAGACTTGATCAAAGGAGAACTTGTAGATCCAGATTTCTCACATCATTTCTAGCTTCATTGAGGTATAAAGTTTGGAACTTGCTCCTTGTATGCTTAGATCTAGTCTTTATGAAGTTTTGGTCCATTTTTAGTCCTATGATGAGATCTAGTGGGTTTCTTACACACCAGAAATTAGGAGTTGCTTCTCTTGATGTTTCCGAGGTCCCTAGTCCATAAATTTAGCATCTTGATGGTCGTGGATCAACCATGCATGTGTTTAGATCCATTTAGTGAAAGTAAAATGCTAAAGTAAGGTTTGGGTTCTTTTGAGCCATGCAAAGGCTCCAAGTTCATGAATTTATGGATTAAGATGTTACTATAGACATGGATATGGAATTTGGATGTTGGAATGCAAGTATTAAGCACTTAAGGAAAAAGTACTTAACGGGCCCGTACGTGCCCGTGTCCACAATCATGCATATTGCCCGATATGCAGGGTGTACGCCTGGTACGCACAGTGTACCAGGCCTATTCTTTGGCTTCTTTGTTTTGGGCCTTCTTTTGGACTTGGACTCCCTTTAGACTTTGGTTCGTAGTTGGATTTTGGGCCTTGTATCTGTTAGGTCATAGTTGGGCCTTAGGTTTATGGGTTGGGACATTATTAGGCCTTGCGCCACTATAGGGTTATTGGGCCAAGCTAGATGGGCCCAATAAGGGAAAATGGTAGGAATAGTCTTTTTACGCTAGAGGTTGAGGGTGTTGGGTCGGGGTCCCCGGTTATGAATTTGACCTAATTATTAATTAGGGTATTGTTTGATTGTTTAGCGTGGGGATTTTCCGGATCAACGGTCCGAGCATTTATCTGATTTTTAGCAGTTGAGGTGATTCTCCTCACAGTGTTTAGCGGGTCGAAGGCACCAACGTCGGCCCATGATTTATTATGATTAGGATGCTAGTTGTTTGCGTGACTCTTGCATGTGTAGTATGTGATATGTATACCGGGCGGGGTCTGATGCCAGGCGGGGCCTGATGAGTGTATTGTATGCTATTTGTCTTAGGGATTCTTGGATGTGTTTTATGTGTATGTATGAATGCCGAGCGGGGACCGATGCTAGGCGGGGCCTAATGAATGTAATGAAGCGGGGCCCATCTTATGTTATTGAAAGATCTGTTCCGAGCAGGGCTCGATGCCGGGCGGGGCCGGATGGTTGTTGGGATTTGCCCATTGTATGTTTGATATGTATGGTATGAAGTATTTTGGGGAACTTACTAAGCTTCGAGCGTACGGTTTTCAGTTTATCATTCAGGTACTTCCGGATCGAAGGGGAAGGGCTCGGGATGCTCGCATCGCATACACCACATTGTTCTGCATTTTTTTTGACTTGATGTACTTAGATGATTATTGACATACTCTGATCTTCTTTTATGGTTTTATGAATACGTTATGGATGATGGTTTTATTATATTAAAAATGAAAGTTTTGGTCTTAAATTTTGGGACGTTACAAGTTGGTATCAGAGCCTTGGTTTGAGGGATTCAGGCACACCTATGGGTGTGTCTGAACTCAAACCGAGGATTTGATAGATTTTGCATGAAATGAATGTTTTATAAAAAAAACAATTTTCTAACAAAAGAAAGGGGTGCGGTGCATGCAATCGACCGAGCTCAAGTAAGTTTCCCAAAATACCCATACATGTTTTATGTTATGCTTTAAATTGTGAACCTGTGAAACACATACTAGATTAGGGCTAAGGACTTGATCAGGATTGCATGATAGAATGCTAGGAGAGATGACTTTGTATGCCTACTGTATGAGCTTGTAGACTTGCATGCTAATACTGATCAGTCATTGATAAGATGGCATGATTAGGTTATGCTTGTTTCCGATTACTTGATGCTCGAATCCTGCTTGCTTTGTGCTTTTAGGAGTTCCCATTAACTTCAGCTAACTAGTAAGTGAATATGCTAAATAACATATTGTTGAGACTAGATAATTTTAGAAGGTTAGGTTTTAACTCTATTGCACAGCTCTTGTCTAAGTCCAACCGTTGTAGTGTGAGACCTTTCATTCAAAGAACTATCTAGTGTCGGTGATATGCAATTGTACTCATGTACTGGTTAAAGGGTGTTAGGGGGAGTTCCTTCTACAGATGACGACAGAGAGTAGTGTGGGGTTTTCCCTAGGAAAACCTAGGAAGAGATTCAGTGTTGGGAGCATTGTCTTGTTGAGAGTTGTATGTATAGATAAGGGAGTAACTTATAGGAGTCGGGACGGTCCTTGAAGAAAGTACGAATATATGTTGAAGGTAGTATAGGCCCGTATTACTGGAAGCAGAGGATCCGTACTCGAGTCAAGGAAAGCCACGATGATACCAGGAAGCTTGTAGAGTATGGGATTCCTCGATGTATATATATATATATATATATATATATATATATATATGTGTGTGTGTGTGTGTTCTGATGGTTTGAATGGTCTATTTTCAGTATGGTGGTCACTCGAGGAGGATCTGGTAGTGGTTTTGGTGCCGGTGAGGGTTCAGGTTCGGGCTCTGGAGCCGAACATTTGGATGATCAGATGCGGGAGTTCATTTCATCAGAGATTACCCACAGTTCTCTTGAGCAGACTCCTGTGATATTTGGAACGATCAAGGAGGGTATCATGGAGATTTTTGATAAGCACTTGGGCGATTTTCGTTATGAGATGGTGGCGATGATGGGAGCTCGCACTTTTACTTTCTGTGAGTTCTGAGCATGTGGAGCCCCAGAGTTCTTCGGGAAGAAGGACCCAATTACAAGCAGGAGTTGGCTG